ATGCTCATGAAAAGACTCTGAGCAGTTGGAGATGAATTTCATGCGTTCACATCGTCATAGGCTGAAAACACCACGAGTGGCACGCATGCTGCTTCAGTATATTTGTAGCAAATGAAGCCATTCATTCACACGGAGAAATGCAGAACATGCAGGATTCATATTTAAATAGTCTTTACGCCTTTAATATTTACAGACATTAGTCTATATCATGATTTGATTTAAGTGTACTGACCTACTTTTGATTTATTTATCCAAAATTTGACAAATTCCGTGACATTCCGTGTTATTAATGACTGGATTCCGCGATTCTGTATACGCTTTCCGCATCACGGAAACATAAGGACCTATATCCTGAGGCATTTTGAACAGAATTAGATAGATCTGTCGTAAAGATATTTAAAAAGGCTATAATCATGAAAAAGAAAAAAAATTTTTTATATATATATATATATATATTAAGCACAACACGTACATTATGCAGTTTTGATTTGCAGTGCAGTGCATTATACATTAATAGTGCATAATCTCTCCCCTTTCCCTCATTAGCTCACAGACAACGATCAATAGTTTCATAACGCACAGTGCTGGCAGAAGATGTGAGGATGCTCTAATAGTCATGAGAGAAGAAGTACAGGAAGTCACAGATTTTGAGGAAAAGAAAAGAGGTTCAGGTTCTGTGAGAACTTCAGAAATGCAGTACAAGCCTTTCAAAAGAGGATCTGTATTGCATATGTCAGTGAAAAAAAAAAGAGCTGAAAACATCTCTTACATTCTCGTGTTTCATGTGTTTGAGGAGCCGCAGTTCTCTGTATGTGCGCTTGGCGTGGATGATGGACTGGAACGGCCGGGACAGCTTCTTGACTGCGATCCTCAGGCCTGTCTTTGTGTCTAACGCGGAGCTGCGGAAAAAAGAACAACATGTTATGGATTCGATCAACACCGCAGACTGCAAGATTACCGGAGAGTTTACTCCAAGATTCACAAGCATTCCAAGGAAAAATGATACTGTAGGAACGTTTTGTTAAAGGAAACCTAGGAACATTCCTAAAGGGTTATGTTTGAAATGGTAAGATCATTGGAAATGGACATCTGAAATGCTCCATTACCATAATAGAAGTGGTGTGTTTTCATACAGCAAGAGTAAGAACAAGAATTCTCATATACTATTTTTTTTATATGAAGTAGTTGTAAAGAGGTGGTTGTCAGGGCATTGCTATGTGGTTGCTAGGGTGTTCTGAGTCACTGTCTAAAAGGTGCGAGTCCATAATAACTAATACCAGCGCTGACTACATTTAAATGCAAATCATTTTCTGATTAGGGTTCATATTCTGGTTAAGCCTAATTAATGGGGGGGGGATATCAACAACATCACTCATTAGAACATGCAGAAACTAAGAAATACATTTTTCTACTAATATATTTATTTTGTTAAGGAAAAATGACTGGAAAAGTATAAAGAATTCAAAAGCGTGAAGTGTTTGTCATGTTCAGACCATAAAGAGTAGTTTAAAACCACAATTAATGGTCTGGTTAATGGTCTACAACTTTCACTTTAAGGGGTCATATGATGCTATTTTAAAGATCATTATTTTGTGTATTTGGTGTAACGGAATATATTGACATGCTTTAATGTTCAAAAACACATTATTTTTCAAATACTGTACATTATTGTAGGTCCTCTCATAATACAATGTTCTGTTCGATTCACAAAAAACGTGGGTAAGAAAACGTCCTACCAAACAGCATCCAGCCCCAATTTCATTTTCCAAATGAGCTTTTGGAACAATGGACGCGCAGTAACCATGGCAGCCCAGGCTGGTGTGGTCAGGAGAGCGAATAGGCTTTCCAGGAAGTGTAAGTAGGCCAGTCTCGCAGATGGAAGGAGACAAAGTTTCTTGCACTATGAGCATTCTCCAAAGAACACACCTCGCCAATGCGTCTGCTGGCCCAGACGAATAATAACACACCGTCACAGACAAACCCTCAAGAAACCATAATGAAAAGAATGTCAACATGCATGCACTCGAAAATTAAACGGCTATGAATGCATGCATATTGTATATACATATACAAACACACATATATATGCAAACTACAATTCAAAAGCTTGGGTTCAGCAAGATTTTGTAATGTTTTTGAAAGAAGCCTGCTCATCAAAGCTGCAGTTATTTGATCAAAAATACAGTAAAACGGTAATATTGTAAAATATTATTACAGTTTAAAATAACCATTTTCAGTCTTAAAGATTTTATATAATTTGATGAAAAGAACAGCAGTTTAAAAAACTGTACTGGTATATACCTATATATTTATCTATCTATAAAACATTTATTTATATATTTAGTTAATATAAAATATGAATACTGACGTATTATATGAAATGTATTTAATATAATTCATTTATTTTTTTATAATTAATGAATTATTATTAATAAATAATTTATTCATTTTTTACTATGTCACATGCCTGAACTGATTGTATTATCACACCCTTGAAAAAAGGCCTCATAGGAACACATGCAAATTTTAGGGATGCAAAAGAACTGATAAGACGAGATAAATCACAATCGGGTGCACAGTTTTGACAGACACGCAATGCCAACAGTGAGGTCAAAATCTGTACAGCTTTACTGTTGAGTCTTGAGCAAATGTTGCTCTTCCCTTTACATAACAATCGCTGCGTGACTCAAACTAGCTTGACGGGGAAGTAGGCATACTAGTTGAACCGTCTCCACTGCAGACGCCAAAGGGTGTGGTGTTTATGAGAGATATCTACTTACAAGCATTGTAAACAGGCTGAACATTAGGTACAGTTAGAGTGCTGAAACAGAAGACGGCTGCACGCTAGACAGCGACCAGGCACAGGACTGGTGTTCCACATGCAAGCTGGGTTTAATCCAAATGAAAGATCTAGCACAGAGAGCCGAGCCAATGACTCAGTGCTGATTGTGAAACATGGGAAACCACCACAGTGTACAGGAAAAGTCCCATATCTCTATCAAACCGGGACATGCTGATGTAGCCCATAATGGACATTGTGATTAGAGGATGATGAAGCTTATGCTTTTTCTCTGAATTAACTAAACTCAAAAGCGACTAACAGCCTATGAACATTCATAGCTCATTAGAAGTTTAATGTTGTTTTAACTTTACTTGCTAAACCTGTCAGTTTAAAACAACATTGTAATTTCACTCAGATATACGTCACAATAGAGAAGACGTTTGTGCCGACTTTAAATCATGACTTAGATTAACACATTGATTTAAGGTTCAATCAATAAAAAAAAGCTCAAAAATACTTGCCTTAAGCATGATCAAGAGAAAATTTAATTTTTATGATTATCTAAACTTTATTGGCCAATGTAATGTGCTAAAAAAATTTTTTTTTGCCTCGTCCTATGCTGGCTGTAAATCTTATTTGCACAAAACGTAGCACAATAACAAAAAGTTATAAAAATTAATTTTGATTTATCAACGAGTTGCAAAGCTAATTAATTGGTCTAGCGATGGCCAATTGCAACTGATCTATATCTGATGAATGCAATGTCCAAAACCTGACACATTCAGAAGATAAGATCACATACTCGTTTCTCCGAAAAAACTATCTGACAGCCAGTTATTCTACTTTGAAACATGCGTTCTGTTTTGGAATGTCTGTTTTTGTTTTGGCCTGTGTGATTCCGCCCACTGCCAATCTACCCAACAGGATTTCGACACCCCGGGTTGCCAGTGGGCAGAAAACACAGCGTACTGCAGCCATGGAAGCCAGCGAACGAATTAGATCAGAGCCTCAGCATCCATCTAAAAAGTTCTATGACCAGAGGCATATTAAAAAGCGGATAAATCAATTCATCGACTTGACGCCTTCCACTGTCAATTGCACTCGTTCCTGTTGGGTGTCCTCAACCTGGCAACCCGTGTGAGCGTCGAGTCTGAGGAGGAACACTATTTTGAATTTGGATGCAGTACCCATGTCAACCGCTAGCCGACAATATACTGCACCTTTAAATTTTAGTCAGACAAATCAACAAACATGGCCACCGGTAGGGTTGTGACGGTGAGGAAGTTTTCCCACCGGTTAATCGACGTGTGACAACACCGGGTGGGGGGGGAGTGTTGGTTCGTTTGAGTTTCCCCTCTTTTCTTCGCTTTCAAATGGCTTGTAAAAGTGCCGTGTGCATTTTACTTTCACTTTCAAATTAGCGGCAATTGAAT